TCATCTTTACTTCTTACTTCGTGTCGGGTCACACAAGAGAAGTTGCAGTTGACAACAGAGGGTGTGGGACCGTACGCACTGGTCATGCCATAGCAAGTCTCAAGGGCGGTGATTTTTTTCTTATTGCTAGTGGGGTGTACTGCGGCCACCTCTGGCCTATTGTACCAGCCCCAGATGATAGGTGAGGGTGATTGTGGAGCAATTGGTGGAATGAAGATTGGCAGGGGAAACCGAAGTACTCTGAGAAAACCAGCCCCAGCACCACTTTGTCCATCACAAATCCCACTTGACCAAACCCGGCATCGAACCCGGACCGCCGCGGTGGGAAACCAGCGACTAACCGCTTTAGCTAGGGCGCGGCCAAGGGCGATGGTCAGTAAATACTGAGCATTTGGATTGGCAAAATGTTGACTGGCAGGGGAGAGCAGATAAACCTGCTTTCACACGCTTTTTCAGTCCAACTTTTACATGATTTACTAATGTCTGTGAATGGAGAAATGTAAATAGATCTTATAGAGAGCCACTCTCTTGCGTACAATTGAGAGTATTAGTGTAACTTCATCTCCCTTCTTTGGTAAGACATCGTGTTTAAAAGCAATTTTACCTTTACTTGTGCATATGGTACGACTGTCAATTTATACTTGACGATACAGATAGAATATTGTGAGTTGTAAATATGCATTTAGTTTTACCTCCCACTTTGAAATCACTTCAACAGAAATTCCTCGTATCGCCTACAATATTCTGCATGTTCACTGTATCCTGTTAATGAAATATATCACACCACCCAGGTTGAAAATCTCCGAGCCCTGATCCAGATGCAATTGTCATGCACATATTTCGCTGGGCTGGACCTGATTTCACGACCTTTCTCTCTCAGGGTCAAGGACTTTCGCTCTGCCTTAGACTTAAAGTGACATCTCAAACGCCTCATTCTAGCAAACCCTTCAACTGCCAGAATAATACACACCCCAAACCAGAATCCTATTCGATTTTTATGTAAGTTCAGTGACCTTAAGATTTTAGATTTGCAGAGGTTATGTGGCATACAGAATATAAAGGAGCTGCATGATTTTCACTCTTAGAAGATTAAATAAAGTGTCTAGCGATGAGTGGGAAATGTAAGAGGCTTGTCGGAATTTAAAAATATGTATTGAGTTTTGGCTTGCAAAATTTAGGGTTACTACTCGTCAAATTTAGCCGGTCACGGTGGCCGAGCGGTCTAAGGCATACACTATCTTCGCTTGCTCGGAAGCCTGGATCGTGGGTTCGAATCCCACTCAGGGCATGGATGTTTGTGTGCGTTCTTCTGTGTTTGTCTACAGATAGAGGCCTTGCAACGAGCTGATCACCCGCCAAAGGAGTCCTACCGAATGTGTAGGATCTATAAAAACCGAAGTGAACGGAGTTCATGGAGGTAGGCCTAGGCCCACTGGGGCTGTAGTGCCAAGGGGGGGGGGGAACTCGTGAAATGTAGGCACCCATTGAAGGATTATACTACAATCCCTGTATGCCAATGATATTAATTGATTAGTGAGAACATAACTGTCGTATAGAAACAAAATATAAGGCGTCATTTTGGTATCGTGTGTTCGAATCCCACTGAAGGCATGGTTGTCTGTGTGTATTTTTATTCTGTGCTTGTGTTGTCCTACATGTAGGTAGCGGCCTTGCGACGGGCTGATCACTCGTCCAAGGAGTTCCATTGTCTATGTAGAAACGATTAAGAACATGAAGAAGCCAGGGCCTTACAAAAGCGCTCTGAAGTCACTGATGAATGAATTGATATGTACGTAGCAATTAATATTCAGATTTAGGTCGTGTGGATGATAGCGGAGTTCGCCAACTGAGGCGATAAGGAAACCTCGTGAAACATAACAGCTCCGCCTTCCCCGATACAAGATTCAAATCGATGCCATGTTTAACGTCATGAAGAAATGACATGCTACCTTACCGGGCGTCACGGGCGACTGGATCTTACTTCTTCTTCTTCTACTTCTAATTCGGAACGTTCCGGGTTAAAGCACTGGCTCGGAGGCCAACTATAGTAACAGGTTTGTCGTGATTTTCCTAAGGCGCTCCAGGCTAATGCCGGCATAGTAGCTAAAATGAGGTCCGATCGGTTCCTTTTTATATTTCTTCCAAATCACAGTTCACCGATTATTTGCTGTGCATGCTCTGAGCTGCTGAAATTGTCGTTAAAGTTAAACTTAAAAGCGTAAGAATGTTACTTTTGGGGCAAGTCAAGTTTTGGAACGCAGAAATACAGCTAGACCGAGAATGTAATAATTTTCTGCCAGCTCAGGGCCGCCGTGTATTTCAAGAGGCGATGGTGTGTATGAGTCACTGGTGGCATGATTATTATTATTATTATTATCATTAGTATTAATATTATTATTAAGGAGCCAGGATAGCGCAGTTGGTATAGCCCACTAGCTACGGGCTGGACCACAGAGGGGTCGGAGTTCGAGGCACGATAGGGTCAAGAATTTTCTCTTCCGTATGTCGTCCAGACCAGCTCTGGGTTCCACTCAACCTCCTATTCGATAGGCACCGCGGTTCTTTCCCCAGACCACTCACCTCCAGCTAGTGCCGAGGTCAAGAAAATATCTATACATCAACTTCCCCATACACCTTCATGCCATAGTGCTTAATTAGCTAAACGTGGGGACAAATTTACTATTATTATTGTTATGACTCTAGGGCCCTTTGTTGGGCCTTGGTCGCTTTTTCAGTTTCTTGATCCCATACACCGTCGGTAAGACCCAAGATCCCAGTATTGGAGGAAGAGAAGGCAGTTAATGTCTCAGCACGCGCGGCCACTTTGATCGGCCCGTCATGATTAGCAAGTGAAAACGAAAAGAATTCATAGAACAACATCTTTAAATGGACTGTAAATAAATGAATACAGTTGTGTTAACAACAAATTAACATTCAACCCAGTTAGCTGGCCTACGTAAAACCGCTGAAATACATTTGGAAAATGTTTATATTCCTAGTCCAAATTGGAGAATAACATCCACCTCTTGCTTAAAATCCTGGTTGGGAAGTCGGGTACTGAAGACCCATTTCTCTTGCGTACTTAAAGGAGACTTCAGTTTCTGATGTAAGAAAAAAAAAAGAACATTCGAATATAAATATATGCCCCGGAACACAAGAAATCTGCCAAAACTTTCTGGTACCCCACATTGCACCTTATTAATTTGAAGGGAAAGGATTTTCACTTTGGAAACCAGTTCCACAACATATAGGATATATAGAAATTCGTAATTTAAATCTGTGAAGTGTTTTTTCACAACATCGAAAGCATTATTATGTGTTTATATTTATTTTGGAAACAACAACAAATAACTCTATTAATCTAAAAATAAATGAATTTGATTTTATGTTACTTAAAATTCAGACATATAATAAATATACATGTTAGGATATTGAATATTCATATTCGAAAGGGACAAGTTGTCTCTGCGCTTAACTAATCAAGCACTACTCCATGAAGACGTATGGGGGAGTGGATGTATAGACCCACGTTTTCTTTCCCTCGGCACTAGTTGGAGGTGAGTGGTCAGCTTCAAGCCTCGGCCACTTTTACCCCTGGGGAAAGCGTCCTTGTACCCAGTGGATAGGAGTCTGGGTGGGCCTCAGAGCCGGTCTGAACAACATGGAGAAGTGACCCTCCCTTTTCTTTAATTCGCTTAGTGGGGAGTGGAGTCCAACTAAGTCCACTCGGCACGGCGACCACTGATTGGCCTATTGTAGCCTGCCCCGGGTGATTATGATGATAGAGGATTTGGTGGAATGAAGATTGGCAGGGGAAACCGAAGTACTCGGAGTAAACCCGCCCCAGCGCCTCTTGGTCCACCACAAATCCCACTTGACCAGACCCGGGATCGAACCCGGGCCGTCGCGGTGGGAAGCCAGCGACTAACCGCTTGAGCTATGGCGCGGCCACCCCAACCCCTTGGTCGTCCAGTCCACAGCCAGTCACTATACCAACCTAGCTACCCCGGCTCTTGATATTCGAGGGGTACGGTGTTTTAAAGAATCAGTTTTCAGTCATTAAATAACTTTAACACTATGAAGTGCATATGAGGCCATGAAAATTACACACAGGAATAGGTGCAATAATTGCACCAGTGGAGCGGTAAGTATACTCGTATGCACTGCTTATTCTACATGGCAACGCCTCTCTTTCAATAATACAAGGGTATGCACATAGACCTCTGTGAATTAAGGCGCAACAAACTGCAAAATAAACCAGCAAATTAAATTCGACAAACATCAAGAAAACACGACAAGAAAGTGAATCCACAGCTCATTGGTGCATATGCGTGTCTTGGGATTGGTTGAAAGACCTTTTTTTTTATTATATCTTTCCTTTTTATTATAGTAGAATCTGTTTTGTCGTCTGTCCTTTTCCCTACCGTTTTAAAGATATCGTAAGCTGTTGAGAGATAGCTGGTTTGCAGCAGCAGAAGTTGTCTTGGTTTCAGAAGGGGCCTGACTGACTAGCAGGCTGGCTGTGATCAAGGGCATTTCAGTTCGTCTGCAGACTGCCGGTCGGGTAGTTCGCGCGCGGTCATCCCGTAACACCACGTTGTTACACCGGTGCAGACAACACAACGCCGATCAAAAAGCCGTTTGACATTTATTTGCTAAAGTTCTACTGCTGCAGACTTTTTGCGATGGTTTGTTGATCTCTTATACAAAGTGATGTTTAGTTTATTATTCGCTTAGTTACTGATGTCAATTCTACATTATTTGTGTAACTTGAACAGATTGGTAATCGTCAATTCCTATTTCGAATCTAGGAAGTTTTAAGTGTCGATTTATTTTGTTTATGTTATTAATCGAGATAGTTTTACGCAATACAAGTGGTAGATAAATTATATATTAAGAAGCTTTCGTTATACACTTCGGTTTGATAAGATCACTAACGGAAACTAGTATTTGATTGGTCAATGATTGATCAGTGTTTCTATCTATTCTGACTTCAAGTTATATGACTCCGAAATATTGATGGATCATCGGCTGTCACTTTCTTCCAGACGATACTGGTAAACTGTTTTTATCTTTAAATAACCAAGATCATTCAAGATAACAAATATAAATATTTCAATGTTAATCTAAATTATAAGAATTTACCCAACACAACAATATAGGAAAAATCAATCTGGAAACATGTTTAATTATATGGAAATTGGAAATAAGTTCGTAGTTTATTTCTCATTGTTATATTTCTAGATATTTTCTGTCGAAAATTAAAATATATAATTATGTGTGTTACTCTCACACAATGTCGGTTTTGATTATATAGAAATATGGCATATATTTTGTTCATGTAATAGACAAATTCAATTCAAACGCATGTACTAGCCAGTAGTATTTGTCGCATGCGCCTTAATTCATTCTAAATTATGTTGTACCACGAAATTTGAGGTTAGAAATTTCTACCCCTCTTAATGATTCCGAATATATTAACTGCATTAACAAATATTTTTTTCACCATAGAAATTCGTCCAACATTGTCTCAGTAATGCATCTGGATTCCTATATCTATATTAGGCCTATAATTTATAATTACTTTAAATCATCTTTCCACTTAAAACGTTTTTATTTCCTTAAATTTGGAACAAAGCAAATAGATTTTGTTCATAATTGAAATTAATTGTTTCCCTGCATATTCAGACAGAAAATAAAGTAGGCATACGTATGTAAAACGCACAACTTGTGTTGCCTATAATAAAATTTACTAATATATTTCAGAGGCTCCACCTGCTGTATGAATTAATTTATTTATTCTGTACCAGTATACGTGTCGTAACATTTCATTGGAAAGTCATTTTCAAATTAAACTTCGAAGCTTAGTGTGATGATATGAATTAACTTCTATGTGCTGCAGTGCGGATTGTTCTTCAAAGTTTTACACCGCTTCAGCAGATACTGAGATATATTAAAAATTCTGAGTAAAGAAATTTACCAACAATGAAAGTTTGATTAAAAGACATAATATAGATTTTAATGAATACATTTCTGTCTCTTAAAATTCTCGAACAGACCCAGGGACGGTCCAAAGAATGCGTTATGTGAGTGGAGTATTTTAAATAATCGTTTAATTTATTACTGCCAAAAATCCAAAAATATTTTCCAGTCCTGTCTAATTTACAATATACGTAAATGAAATAGAATTCCACTTTAGTACATTATTATGAATTACATACCGCTCTACATTCGTCACCGGATGATATATTTTGACCACATTTTTATGATAAGCCATATAAATTGGCCAGCATATAAATCAGTTTTAACCTAATGACTTATATGATATACTGGGTTTTGTTTTCCCCAGAATATGTGCCATAAGTGAACCAATTGTGCCATCGGATACATTAATTCAGCGAGTCGATGTTCTGTTGTTTATAGTCCATATTTAATTGAAAGATGTTGAACTGTTGGAAAACATTTTCTTCGGGTTGCTATTAATGAAATACAGGAAGGAGAAATCAACTGTATTTAGTGAATACATATTTAAAGTTTTATAAAATATGCTATCATTCCGGAAGTTGCAGTAATAGAATAAATAGTGCTATACTGAAAGCAAGAATACATGAAACTACAATTTTATGCGTTCTTCTGTATGACTGTCAAACTTGTCCGGTTCTGTGAGGGAGGGGCACGGAGCCTGAAAACAAACAGAGGAAGAGATTACCTAGACTTGACACAGAGTATTTATGGAATATATAAAAATGCATATAACATTTTAGTCGTGAACATGGAACAAACAGCCTAAATAGGAAATCTGGAATTGGTGAACAGAGAAATATTGAAATGGGCGTTGTAAGTTGTGCTCTGGATTCATCCGGCTCAGGATGAAGAACCCAGTGGCTTGCCCTTGTAAACATGGTTTCGAGGGCAGACTATTTCGCAATGTCTATATTTCAGCCAGCCTCTCAAGTAGTACCATGGTCCGTGGAATTCATTAAGAGAGGTTAACGGGGATGTAGGGAAAAATACGCAATGAGGATTTTTTTTCCTTGGCACTACAGCCCCAGTGGGCCTAGGCCTACCTGCATGAACTTCTCCGTTCACTTCGGTTTTTCTAGATCTTACACATTCGGTAGGACACCTTGGGCGGGTGATCATCTCGTCGCAAGGTCTCTACCTGTACACAAACACAGAAAAACGCACACACACAAACTAAACATCCATGCCCTGAGTGGGATTCGAACCTACGATCCCGGTTTTAAGCGAGCGAAGACAGTACATGCCTTACCCCGCTCGACTACCGTGACCGGAAATGAGGAATTTTACAGTATATATTCTTCTTATAACATGAACGCGGTTGAATAAAATGAGTGCGAATGGCAGACTGTGGAACAAGAATGGAAGACATAAGTCAAGCGTTTGAAATTCTAGTCCGAAACCCGTAAAGAACCAGAGTGATTTAAAAGCGTAAGTGTAGACGAGAGGATAGTGTAAACTGAAATTTGAGAGAATTTAAGGGTGAAGGAGTGCATATTCACATAGTTCAAGATAAAAGTCCTTTTGGACATACTGTAACACACTGGGTTCTTTAGAAGCAGGAAATTTCATGACCAAATTAGCAAATAACATTTAACCAGATATGACTCACACAATGTAGTTAGCCGGTTTCTAAACATTCATATAAACCATAATGTGGTTTTCTATATTTAATTCTTTAAACATCACTTAATTACACGAAACAATCATATCTTCATGCAACTACGCGGGGTAGCCATTTGCAGCAGTAGTAAACAGAAGAGACTGCAGATAAATACTTTAGTATGTAGCATGTTATAGATAATGCGATATTGTTCTAAAGAAAATAGTAGTTAAGTTAAACATTTCATGTCATCAGAATGCCAGATGATAGATATCTCAGCTGGAATCCTGTTGTTTGTCCCTACAAGGGTCTGCAAAGGAACATGTAACATTAATAAAGTGGTCAGACTTTTGTCGAAAATGCATTGTCTCTGCTATACATTTGTTACTATAACTATTTCGTATCTTTCTTTTTCAGCAATATCCAAGTCTGTGAAACTTCACTCGCTGTTCCAGATATTTTAACGAAGAATCTTACGGCTTTACTCAATTCCTTCTCGAAAATTGACAGAGAAGACGAAGATTGTTTTCTAATATATTTTCACCATCTTTCAAACAGTGTTAGATGAATTATGTGAAGAAAAGGTGTGATATAGCAACATGTACTCAAATATGTACTCAAATTCTCACGGTGTTGTCGCTTGCAGATTTCTTATACTTTTTCTTCTACCCTGAAGATGGGGGCGATACGTTCCTCCGAAACGTCGGTTAACACCACATATACACGGTGCCAAATCCCAAAAGACTGCTTTCTTCATAGTCACCGCCGTGAAAGCCTCAAATCTTACAAAACTGTTATATTTAATACTCACAATTAAAGAACATTTTTCGTGAATTAGAAAATAAAGAAAACGCTTCAACGAAGATGAAGATATTAAGAGGACTGTAAACAGTTTTTATATAATACTCACGTTTTTCTAAATGCGAACGGACGTCAGAAATTTTGATTAATATGTTCAAACAATCGTAATCATAGAATGCTACTATAGAGCGAAACAGTTACATAGCTGAATATCGCAGCGTCAAAGCTGAAACATTCGTGCAGCAACACATGGACGGCATTGTCGTCCCTACCACATCTACAGTTTTACTAGGACTATATCCATTCCAGAACAGTGATGCATATAGGTAAGTCTTCATGCATAGCTGCAATATGAAGTGAGTAGGATTCTGTACCTCTTCAGAATAATAAAACATTGCTGATTTTCTGATTCATATTCCAGAATTGGAGACCATTCATAAGTTGGAAATTTATTTCATTTTTATTGCTACTCTTCTCTAAGCCTTAAAGCTCTTAGTAATATTCGAATATTAAGTGGCGAAATGAACCAAACGTGATAATTGTATTTTAATTTTAATGAGATGCGGTTTTTTTTAATTTATTCTGGTTTCTCTTATTTAATCTTCAGACATGAAACGTATTCCAGAACTTCAATGTCGTTCTATTAATACAAACTTACAATTCACGGTTTCAGTGCTGGCTTATAGAAGTAAACGAATATTATTTCTTATGTTTCAATATATCGAATATAAATCACGGTGTTTTGTTTATAAAAACTATGAATATTCAGTAGGAAATTGATGACAGTGGAAGGAAAAATTTCTAATTTACTGGCATTGAAACATCAAATAAAATCTTACCTGAAGGTAAATTTTCTAAAGTAAATGTCTTACTATAGCTGTATGTCTATGCCGATGATATGACTCTACTGGTTGATAACATAGATACTATGCAGAAAAACACAGACTTTAACTGACGCTAGTGAGAAGGTTGGTCTAGGAAAAAAAACACAGAGAAAACTAAGTATATGTTTGGCTTCCCACCGCAGCGGCCCGGATTCGATCACGGGTCTGGTCAATTGGGATTTGTGGTGGATAAAGTGGCGATGGGGCGGGTTTTCTCCGAGGACTTCGGTTTCCCCTGCTAATCTTCATTCCACCAAATTCTACATCATCATAATCACCCGGGGCAGGCTACAATAGGCCAATCAGTGGCCGCCGTGCCGAGTGGACCCAGTTGGACTCCACCCCCAATTAATCGAATTAAAAAAAAGTATATGTTGGTGTCTTTGCTGTCTTGTCACCAAAATGCAAGGAAAAATCGTGAAATAAAGAGAGGTAACAGATGTTTAAAAAATGTGGCACAGTTCGGATATTTTGGAATGGCAGAAATAAGTCAAAAACTGATTCAGGAGGAAATTAAGAGGAGATTGAACTCGGGTAATGCTTGCTATTATTGAGTCCAGAAGCTTTTGTCTTCTTGTCTGCTGTCTAAAAACATACAAATTAGAATATAAAAACTATAATTTCGCCTGTGGTTCTCTATTGGCGTGAAACTTGGTCTCAGACATTAAGGGAGGAACATAGACTGTGGTTGTTTGAGAACATGTGTTGAGAATATTTGGACGGAAGAGGGATGAAGCGACAGGAGGTT